TTAGCTTTAAAGCCTTACATAGCACAGCACTAGGATATATTATGTTCACCACAACATAAACTGATTCCTGTCTGGTCTAGACATCTAAGGAGGCCTGTTGAGGGTTGCCCCTCTTAGTGAAATTCACCATGGATCAGGTGACAGGCTTTCTCAATGGTGATCTCCATTCTTTGGAACATTTCATCTGGGAAATATAGATGACTTTGACTCTATGTTTCACAAAAAAGTTACAGCAGTAGTTTGTAAGGACATTCAGCCTTTACTTGTTCTTCATTGCCTTGTTTATGTGCATTTATATCAGTTTTATCTTTTTATCTGCCCATAATCAAAATTGGATAGTGACATTAATAATGGACATAAATATATCTAGAAATTAATAATTATATAATATTGCTTGATATCATAGTCAATTATTTCTTTCATAAATGAACGTATGTGTCCCAGGATAATGTTTCAAGATCCAATCTGGGTTGGTGAATGGGACCACAGAGAAGGTCCCTGAAGATGGGCTCCAGTATGAGCCTGATCCCGGTGAACAACCCAGATTAGCTCCTCCAATTATTTTGGTCTTCAGATTTACATGGCTGGAGGATCCCTGTGTACCTGTGAATGATCTGAATTGCATACTAAAGCATTTGAAATGAAACTCAGAACAGTGCTATCCTGTTTTCCCCAAAATAAGCCCTTCCCAGATAATAAGCCCTATCAGGATTTTGAGCACATGGGCTAAAATAAGCTCTCCCCGAAAATATTGCAACACAGCAGCAGCCATGAGGTGACCACACTTGCCACCTCCTACGCCTCAAAAATAATAAGACTTCCCCAAAAATAAGGGCAAGTCCTTATTTTGGGGGTCCAAAGAAAATAAGATACTGTCTTATTTTTGGGACAACATAGTATTAAGTTACTCAGAGATTTTCAGGGTTAAAGCGTAAGCTTTATTAATGAATTTAACCACCTCACATTCACTTAGATTTCCCAACCATGATGTTCGTACATACAAAAATGTTAGAAACATCCAATTTGTATCTCCTCTTGTGTCTGGCTTGGATGTGAATCAGAGTATGGATATCTTCTCCAGTCCAAGTCTCAAGAACGAAGAAAAGCAGTAGTTGCCACACAGTAGCGGGTGTGGTATTTCACAATGGCCCCTTGCCTAGAAGTCATCTCCACTGCATCATTCCAATTCCCTCCTGTGCGTCAGCCTCAAAAGTAAGTGGAGATTATTGAATTGGCAATAAAGGTGCCTAAAACTATCTGGTAATAGAAAGGTTCTCCCAGAGCTTATCAATTTGGCTGCTTCAGTTCATTTTCCAGAATAGTGCTGCAAACTGCTTCCTGGGTGCATTCCAAAAGAAAGATAGAACATTCTAGGGTGGAACAGTGGAACATTCTGTTATGAAATCAGAGTTTTGCCCAAAGATAGATTATAAGATGCTTCTTCTGCTTTTGACTTTAATTAGTCGTGGCTTAATAAATCTCAGTTAAAACATGAAAAACTGAGTAACCTACTGGGGTGGGAGAAGAGAATTGGTTGTCGTTGCAATTTTTAAAAGCAACTAGAATATTGCCTCTTAGAAGCTCAAAGCTGCAATGCATAAGGCCATGCAGTAGTAAATTACTCTTATGTGCTTTATAATGATATTGTGTTCTTCCATAATAACTATATATTTTTAATGCCACTTTTCAGTTGTTGTGCTTATTTGAAGTGTTTTAATAATAAGGAAAAGATCAGTGCAGATTTTTGCACTGCACTGTCATTCTGCATTTTGCTGTTGAATAAGTTCTTTGCCAGCTAGTGGGTCTCATCCTTTGTGTTGAGTGCATTATCTTTTTAGATTTAAAGGTCAGCATTTGGGAATGCATCAAGGAGCAGTTTTCTCCTGCGTTCCTATGGGGCAATTTGAGGGCAGTAAACTGTTGCATGTTGATTTATTACCACCTCCATCATAATCTCATTGTGTATTTCAATCATCAGTCAACCAACCATTTGTGTATCTACACTTTCAAATTAGCTGGATTGATGGCTTGGTTAAAGTTGCAAGTGGATATCATATAAGATCCTGCTTTGAAATTCAATTAGAGGAAATTGCCTATAAAATAAGTACTCTGTCACCCTTCAGTTTGTCTCAGCATGTGCATAAAGATGAAGTGATGGACCTGGTCCTGAGGCAGCTGCAGCAGTAATTTCTATACTGTGATGCCACAGTGTGATCCACGACATGTAGCAACTTGCCAACTAATAAAATAGTGACATACTGAAATCGAAGTAAGAAAAAGTAAACTATGCATTTGAAACTTATGGATGAATTCCAATGCTGCTTTACAGAAAAACTGGGATGAAAGAATAGGGTATTTTCTAAATCAGATCGATTCAAAACGACAGCTCTCTTTTGGGCTACTGAGTCCAAGTCTTATTTTGTACAAGCATTCACACTAGGGCATCCTCAACAGATGACTATCCAGCCTCAGTTTGAACATAACTTGTGAACAGCCCATTACCTCTTTGGGAAATTAGTTTATGTTTTGAATTGCTCTGTTAGGACATTTTCCTAATTCAATATACATTGTATTTTAATGTACACAATGTAAGTTAATTTGTTTCAATGCATTTGCTTTCAGAGTATGTTTTTAGGTGCTGAAACAGTGATGGCGAACATTTTCAGCACCAAGTGCTCAAACCGGAACGTGCATGCATGTACATGCATCCACACTGGAGCACCGAAAATCCAAACACCAGCTGGCCAGTGTGCAATGCAGCTTAGAACTGTGTTGGCTTTTTTGGCAGCTGCAGCACACTGCTGGCTCATATTTAAGTCATTGTCCACTAGGACTCCACAATCCCTCTCATAGTTGCTATTATTGAGCCAGGTATCGCCTATACCCATGATGGCACGGGTGAACCGATAGCACACGTGCCAGAAGTGGCACACTCTCTGTGGGCATGTATGCCATTGCCAGCTGCTCTTATGGTTTCCGGCACCAGCCAGCTGGTTTTGGGGGTTCTGGCAGTCCGGCGCGTGCGAAGACCGACTAGCCGGCACGTATGCGTACGCTGGAAACTAGAAGAGCACCTGGCGATGGCGCATGTGCCCACAGAGAGAGCTCTGCATACTGTCTCTGGTACGCGTGCCATAGGTTTGCCGGTGCTAAAATAAATGGAAAAATAACTACAATTTTTTTAAAATAGAAGAAAGCGGTAACACAATCAATTTAAGTTCTTCTGAGTTTCTCAGTTTCCTGAATGTAAGCTTGTTCAACCACTCCAATATCTACTTGTGAATTCATCCCCCAACATTGATTGGGAATTTTAAGAATATGCATGGGAAGTCAGGCTCTTATCCAAGAGTCCAATCTAAATGGTCTTAATTATTTTACAGTTGTAGCTGTTTTGACATTTGGGTGTGTTTTCCTCTCTAATTCTCCAACCACCGCTCTTTTGTTGCTCATCCTGTTGCTTAACCTCACAATGGCATCTCATCCTGAACTTGTTTCTGCAGATATGCATCACTGTGTTATTCTGATTATTTCTATGGGTCTTTCTGGCTCCATCCTTATCAACTCCATCTTTGAGGCAGGATGTCACTTCAGTTCCAGAAACTGCCTCCCAAAAATGCTTTCCCTCCTGTTCCTCATCCTCCAAGCTGCTGGTAATTATAAAAGGGTGCTACAAATGACAGTGTCAAACCTCTGGGCCATCTTCACATTCCAGATGGATACTATATTGTGCATTGTGGTTATCAAGGCTTTCATTTCTGGGCAAGCTCAGCATGGACATTTAAGTCTCCCAGAACAAAATATCTAGAGCAATCCATTGCCATTGCAGAAATAATTCTGACTAGGCCAGGAAAATTGTTTTAGAGCAGGGGTGTGAAACGCAAGGTCCACAGGATGGATCCGTGCTTAGTTCTGGCCCACGGGGCCTCCCTGGAAACAGCGAAGGACTGGCCCGCAGTGCCTGTTACGGCTCCTTCACTTAATAACCAAGAAAGAAAGCACTTAACTCCATTTTGTAGAATTAAGAGTACTTTTACTGATTATAAGTAATGAGAAGCTAAGCAAAACTGGATCTGAGCAAAAAGGCGCGAAAGCATTAGATATCAATACATGATTCATTCCCCTCCCCTTAGTACCCCAGTCCATAGTCCAATTGTATATCTCCACAGCTGTCAGGTGGGAGACATCTTCAAATATCATTATTAGGTTGGTATGCTGGACAGTTGGCCTTGGCGGTAAACTCCCCTCCTTCCACATGCGCAAACGAATGGTGAGAACAACTCCCA